TATATTACGTACTTTTTCTTTGCAGATAAATATTTTGTCCCTTGAAAATTTTCTTTATTACATTTGATCCCCTAAAGACATCAAGCCCAAGGGCCACCTCGCCCGGGGACTGCCTCCCAAGGCAGGTTCAGACAGCCCGGGATAACGAAGCCCGGGGGAACAAAGCTTATTAGGTTGTGCCCGCACTTTAAAGGCTACGACAACCCCCATTCGGGGACGGTTATCTCGGTTAAGCCCGAATGACTCAGGGTAACAGGCCCACTAGGAAACACCCTAACTAGAAAGGCTACGACCATCTTAGAACAACTCGGAGACATCCGAGACCCATAACCAAAAAATAAGACCTGCAAAAATTCTAAACCGGTTCAAAAGACTACCCTCGGCAAATTGTAACCTAAAATATTCTAAATACTTTGGGAAAAACTTCCAGTCATACCGAGTCCCCCACGAGTCTTAAGCAAAATAATATCGAGAGTAAGGCATGTTCGAACCTCCGAACAAGACCTAGCTAAGGCATTCAATATCTTTACAATCATAAAGAAAAGAGCGAAAGGAAAAAAAGCTTATAAACTGTTGAAGGGGAAAAGAGCCTTATATATATAAAAATATCTTGACAAAGGCCAAACGGCCTCAAAAAAAGCTCAAAGGTGCAAAAACAAAGAATAATTTACAAGGCACTTAAACGACTTGATCTTCGCCGGAGCCTGCCTCATCACCAAGACCATCGGAGTCTTCTCCGCCCCCGGATCCACCCGAACCCTCGGAGTCTTCTTCATCCTTGGGATACGCCAACTTCTTGGCCTCGGCCTCAAGCCCCTTAGCATTTTCGACCTCGGCCGACAAATCAAAATCCCGAGCATGAACTTCCTCGAGGGCCTCCCTTCGGGACTGCCACTTTGCGTATTCGACAATATCTTTCAGGCGGTCCTGGGATGCCTCGGCATCGGCTTTATACTGGGCCACCATCTCATCGGCATCAGCTTTGGTTACTTCAACCATTGACTTGGCCGCTTTAAGCTCCTTGGCAAAGGCCTCTCGGTCGGCAACAACTGAACTTAGCTGAGACTGGAGCTCCTCAATTTTTTGGGACCACGCCTCAGCCTTCTCCCTTGTCGCTCGACCTTGATTGCATCTATCTCGGCTCGGAGTTGGTCGATTCGATCAATCTTCTGTTGGACCTGTGGGTTTCGACCATTAGTCACCGTGTCTAGCTCATCATCACTAACTTCAAAGATTTTTACCTGTTCAACCAGGTCGGCGTGTTCTTTCCGGGTCGCTTCCAACTCAGCTCGAAGGCTCTTAGCCTCTCCTTCACGTTGCTCGCTGAGAAGTTTGTACATGTCTCTCTTCTCAGCAAGCTATTTGACTTCGGCTTCGAGTTGGTTCAGCTCATCCGGATACCGAAAGAAAGTTTCGTAGTGAAGCACCAAGGCCTAAGAATACGAAGAAAAATATCAGGATTATCAATGAATTAGTTCAAGTATAAGAGGAGAAATTGAAATCACTAGGAGCTATTTCGAGTTACCCGGTTCAGCGCCTGTTGTGCTTCATTAAACAGGTACGGCGCGTCTGCCTCATTTATTTTGGTATGGTCTTCTTCGATCACCAGGCACCAGAGATAACTGGCTACCCCTACGGTGGCAGAAAGAACCCGGACATCCTCCGGAACGGTGATGATAATGGGCCGCTTCCGATCATGATCCAACTCGGGGCAGGGAACCAGTTGATCAGTTTCGGGCTCGAGTTAGGCCCACCTACCCCCGAGGACGGGCTTTTTCTCGGTACCTCTAAGTCACTCAATCCGGTGACGTCCTCCGTGGCAGTGGAATCCATGCCATCAAAAAAGCAGCAGAGGGGTCGTCCACTCTGTGGGCCCCCTCGTTGGGGCGCTCTTTCACTGTTTGGGTCTCGTTGTACATGGACTTGGTAAATGAGGGTGACTCGGTGATTTCTATCACACCAAGTGCCTCCTTCGGGGCACTGCCAGCATCTTGGAAAGCCTCGGTCCCGATCTCCTCATCGACCTCCTTAGCTTGAGGCAGATCGGCCTCACGTATCTCTAGTTCAGAGGCCCCCGCTCTTTGAGCTGCGACGGCTCACGGACCACCAGAACAAAAGGTTCTTCTCCCTCGGAGTCGTCCCTCAGTCGATAGAGCAAATCCGAAGCTGGTGCTCGGGCGCTGGTGTTTTCTTTTGACTTGCGCACCGGCCTTCTCCTTGTTTTCTTTTTCTCCGAGTTCGGGGAACTCAGAGCCCCCTTCCTTTTCCTCTCTTCGACCTGTCTCGGAGTTGGGGGACTCGGCATGTAAGTTCTCACCACCGACTGGAGGCCTAAGCTAGACATCCTTAGATAAGCCTGCAAAAAGAGGTAAAGGGAGTAAAGGCTTAATGTTAAAAGGAGAGTCCTAATACAGCCTACTCGGGAAATAAGTCTCACCATGGGAACGAGCCTCCCAACGGCCTTTCGAGAGTTTGCGCCACGAGCGCTTGGAGTAGGGAATCTGTGAAACGATACCCTCGACCCACTCCTTGAGTCGAGGGACAACATTTGGGACCCGGGCAACGGCTGCACCACCACAAAGCACCGATAAGGAAAAGAGAAATAAGTATAAAATCAACATTCGAAAGTAAGTTCTACTTACGTGACGTATTCCACTTCTCGAGGAATGGCCTGCACTCAGCCGGGATCAAGTTCGAAGTCCTCACTCGGACAAAATGGCCTTGCCAGCCTCGATCCCGATCCTCATCAATATTTGAGAACTAGACTTTGCTGGCCCGACGCACAAGCATTATCAGTCCCTCCAGAAGATTTGGGGACTGTATAAGCGGAGTAGATGATCAATGGTGAACGAGCACCCATAGATTTTGTTCATGAAAAACCGGAGGAGGATCACGATCCTCTAGAGTGATGGATGAATTTGGCCTAGGCACATGTTGTACCTCTTGCAAAAATCCAAAATGGCCTGGTCAACCGGGCCCAATGTAAAGGGATAAGTGTAAACACTTAGATATCCCTCGACATAGGTGGTAATGGCCTCTTCGGGGTCGGGGATCACTATGTCTTTATTGGCCCAGTTGTAGTCTTTTTGGACCGTAGGGAGGGCCTCTTTGGTAATCAAGCAGATGTATCTCGAGACCTCCTCACACCGACCCTGTATGGAGGCTTTTCAACCTTGAAATTGATGTTGACCGAGCATCCCCCGGGGATGAACATTTTCAAAGGGGGTTCAGGTACTGGTTCATCGACGGTCGCGCGGAACGGTCTCCTCGGCCTCAGTAGCTGACCGCGAAAAAGAAGGAGCTTCTTTCTGGGGAACGATTTTGGAAGTCATTGCCATTCCCTTAGAAAATGAAGATGGAGGAAAATCTGAGAAAGATGAAGAAAGAAAGGAAGTTGAAGGATTAGACTTGTTAGCTTGAGAAGAAGATGGGTAAAATTTCTTGCAAAGGACCTCGAATAACCAGGGTAAAAGTGCTAAAAAGTATTAGAATCCTAAAGGTACGAGGGTAGAAGGTTTGGATGTAAAGTAAAAATGAACAAAGGAGGGGGTATTTATAGTAGTTCAGCGGCGTTTCACATCCAGGGATGGCCGACCGGCGGGTGCCATGCATTTAATGCCATTATGACTTGACTGACGAGATATTTCGGATATTTTGTCATTTCTGTCACGATGTGTCGAAGTAAGAATCAGAAGCTCATGTCGTTTCTCGTCATTTACTCTTCGAAAAACGAGGGGACTATCTGTATACGGGTGAAATCGAGCTCATGGTGCATCCCAACCTCCGACAAAATAAGCCAGGCTCGAGACATGGCGACAAGGGACCGAAATCGAGCCAAAGTCCCACCGGGCCAGAATCCGGGGACATGACACCTGCCTTGGAGAATATTGAGGCCATGGTCCTGGAATCGGTCCTAGCCTCGAAGACTTCGAAAAACATTGTGAGATAATGGAGCATAGCCAACAGAAAGCCGAAATATCCGTGACCGGCCGAATATTACGGCGGAGATCTCGGCACGTATCGATAAGGAACCGGCAATCAGAAGATTCTTTACCTTTTATAGAGTTGTACCCAAAATAGGACTCCCCTACTATATAAAGGGGGTTTGATAATTCATGAAGTATATTGTAACACACACTCAAAAGCAATATATTATTAATTTCTCTGTCTCTAGCTCTTGTTCCTTTTCATCTGTACCGGTCGTGGTGAGTCCGACTTGAGAGTGAATGTTTCACTAAGGCTGAAACTATTCAACTCGTGTTGTTTGAATTTATTTTATCTTTGTTTGTTCAATAGTAACTTAATTTATCGCTTTGTATCAAGTTAATTCGCATATCCTTAAAACCACTTGCAAATTTAATTGTTATCCGATTTTGAGGGTAAACACAACTCTATTTTGCATATTAATGTCCAATCACGCAAAAAACGTCAATAACAAAATATATGAAACATTACAACGGAAAATGCAGGATTCCGGATAGAAGACAACACAAAATGTGGAATTGGAACAAGATTCCCAATTTTCACCACCACTCATTTTGAAAAGGATACTTCTGGTACTTTGCGTATACATTTTGGTTCAGTTTTTTTTTAATTTAAATTTGTAAAATTTTGTATCTGGTTAAACATAATCACATATGAAAAGGACGTAAAGAATTTATGGAAACAAAAAGTGTGTTTTGTTAAAAAGTAAATTAAAATAGCTGATTTATATGTGATATTAAAATATGTAGTGTAGTGATTCAATAAGACAAAGGTACATGTGCAAGTTGTATGGCTAGTTACTAGTAACATAATATAAGAATCCGAAAAGAAATTGTATAATAATTATTAGAAATAAACGGTCAATTAAAATTGGAAAGTGTCCAAAGAAAAAATATAAAAAAGGAAAAGAAAAGTAAAGATTTATGCGCCCTAAATCTACACTATCCTAAATTAGACACAGAATATCCCACCTTTTAAGTTTCTTATTCTTCTTTATTTTGGCACACGATCATAATTTGCCTTTAATGTATAATCTTTCCATTAATTGCTGTTAACCCTTTTGAAAAATTATTATCTCTAAGCTACGTACAGTTTCCCCTCTGTACCTTTCTCAGTTCCTCAATATTCCATTTGGCTAAGTGATAAGTAAGTATACATATTCTTTATCAATCTTATTTTTCCCCTTGTTATTTGATTCAAATCAGAGGTCGATTCAGGACTTGTACAATATGGGTTCTCATATGATTTATTGGGTTCGAAATCTGTTACTTATATTTATTTTTGTGAAATTTTAGCACGTACACATGGTTCTAAATCTTTATAAGTTTACTCGCCATTTACTCGTATTTCCTCTCTTTCATATTATTCATGTTATGTAATCATGATAAAAGGATATTTAGTTTACAGAAGAGAAAGAGATAAAAGTAATTTTTATTCGTGGACAAAATAAATACTACTAGTAGGATTTTTATTTTTGTTTGTAACAAAATATTGTTACCTTTGGATATATATATTTGGTTTTATTGATCTCAATTTCCATTTATCAATTATTTAGATACACCAGTGGTTTCTATGGAGCCCTTTGCAGACGTGGTAAGTGCGAAAACCTTTTGTCTCAATTGGCTTTTATTTCTTGAACATTGGAATTAAAAGACTGTATGCTTTGTAATTTTTGTGTATTTCAATTGTCTTCTCTGTTTTTGTAGAGTTGCATTTTGAAAGTGGATGTCCATTGCGATGCTTGCAAAATGAACATGGTGCAAGTTTTAAGTTCCGTATGCGGTAACATGCTTATCACTAATCTTAAATTCCCATCTAATTAATTAGGCTCAAGTAGGGGTGTCAAACGAGTGAGTTTGAGCCACAATTGGACAACTTAAAACAAGTTGAATCAATAAATGGGCTGATAATCTTTCTAATGTTTACTTAGATAAAAATGAGCACATTAATTTGGACTAATTAATTGGTCATAACTCAATTCGCACAACTCAAAATTATTTTTCATCTGTTTGTTATTCTTTCATAATCTGTTTAATTACTAAATCTAGGCAATACAACTTTTTCTTTTATTTAATGCAGCCCAAATTTGCCCAAACGTTTAAATGAACTAACTTGGGTTGTGCCCAAATGACTTATCTGTGAGTATATGTCCAACTTAACTCGCTCAGGCTTGAGTGGTCGATCGTATTATATTTTCATAGGCTAAATACTGATAACCCTAGCTAAGCTTTGAGAATTAAATTTGATCTTTTATCCTTAGCATATAACATTTGAAAGTTGTCTTCGTATGATCTATATGTCACAGATTCAAACCGTGGAAGCAGCCTCTAATACCTGCATTAAATTAGACTTTTACATCGCACTCCTAGGGATACGACTCTTCCCTGGACCCGTGTGAAGCTAGATGCTTTGCGCCCTATATAAGATTTGAGAGTTGAATTGTTTTTTTTCTTACTAGTGAAGTTTTTTGTGTAGGAGTGTATTCATTGACAATAGATGCAAAAGCAGGAGAAGTAAGAGTATGTGGGGAAGTGGATCCAAACATACTTGTGAAAGCACTAACTAGGACAGGAAAACATGCAGAGGTAGTATATGTGAAGCTGAAACATCCTGGTCTTACTCCTAGAAATCATTATTATGCCAATGACAATCGCTATTATCGTCCTCCTTATGGCGGCCACGGCCATAACTATGGTGCATTAGATCACTATGACTACTACAACACAATGGCAATGAGAAGACCTATGGTGGAGCAACCTTACTACTACGGCAGCGGCCATTCTTCCCCATATCCTCCGCCTAGGTACGAATCATTATTCTGCGGGATTTTGCGTAAGCAGTATCGCCTTATTATTACATCGATTGGTGTTTGAGTTTGGACTTCAAATGCATGCGTGCCTACACACATATAGTGAATGTTTTCGGCAAAGTGGTGTCAAATAACACTTTCTAGTACAAGGGTATCTTTGCTACCACACTCAATTGATGCACTATGTGGTAAACCTATAGGGCTCGTTTGGTACGAGGTATAAAGAATAATTAATTCCCAGATTAAATTTGAATGAATTTATCCCATGTTTGGTTGGAATAAATCGTGGTAGAACTAATCCCGGGATTATAGTATTTTTTTATCGCTATCGGAGGGTGAGATAACTAATCCCGAGATAATTAATCATAAGATAACTTGTTTTCCAACCAAACGATCCCTAAGGAGTTTTTTTTTTTTTTTTTTTTTTTACAAAATATGAAACTACACTAATAATAACAAGCAGATACCAAATTAGACTCAAATCTTTATAATGATTTTTCATGGCTTACTCATTAGCTTTCTTAACCAATCCCTATTTCTTGTAGTATAATTTTTTTTAAGTTAATGTTGACTGAAAATGCTTGTGTTGTTTTGCAGGTATCACCCATTTTATTACTAATTATTATGTGGAATATGCTGGAAAGGGACAATGACTATTGGAAGAATATTTTAGCTGTTAAATTCATCAATGTGCTAGCTATTTAGTTTTGAATTGCTGTACTGCTTATGCTTTAACTTTAACTTCTAAATTGATTGGTGGCTATGGATTTTAGAGTTGTGCAGTTTGATTGTAGTTCTACTGTGGTTGACCATTCCCTCATATTGATTTTACAACAACGACGACGACCCAGTAAAATCTCATTAGTGGGGTCTGGAGAGGGTAATGTATACATAGACCTTACCTCATATTGATTTTAGTCGGTGAATTTTTTTATTCACCAGCAATATTTACCCCAACCAATAAAATGATATATGTCTTGGCATATACTTTTATTCCGAAATTATAATTAATTAATACATTTTTTATCTTAATTTATAATTTAACCAGGATAAATTTATATGACTTAGTATAAATAATGAATGCAGGTAAATTTTAATCATTATTAGGTCATCTGTCTATTTCAATAATAATAATAATAATAATAATAATAATAATAATAATAATAATAATTGGATGATTTTAAGGCGGTCAACTGGTCAAGGTCAATTATTATGCTCATTAGAGCAAAATAATTCAATTTGTTATAAATAGAATTGTATTTAAGGTGAATGTCTATATTTTAGAGAGATTTTAGGGATTTTATTTGGTGGCTAAGTCACTCTTTCCCTATAAATAGAGGGGTCTTGTTCAATTGTAATTCATCTCAAAGCAATAAGAATTCTCTCTCTTTTCTCTACAATATTGTTCTTCTTCTTTTATTGTTTCATTGCACGTTATCAGCACGAGACTCTACCGTCTCAAAAAGCTCTTTGAGAAGACTAAGCAAATATGGATATCTTTCAAAGCAAATTTGAATCAAAGTTTAATTGTAAAAATATTTATTTAATTGATTCATGTACGACACATATAATATTCAAAGAGAAGAAATATTTCTCTCATTTAAGTATGTGTAAGGCAGATGTTACTACAATTTCTGGTAGTAGTAATCTAATTGAAGGCTCTGTAAGAGCTACTATAACTCTGCTTATGGGAACAATACTAATCATAGATAATGCAATGTTCTCCTCCAAGTCCAAGAGGAACTTGTTGAGTTTTAATGATATCCGCCGAAATGGATATCATATTGAGACAATAGATGAGAGTAATCTTGAATATCTCATCGTTACCAAAAATATCTCTGGCCAGAAAAGGGTTATTGAGAAGTTCCCATCTTTATCTTGTAGCTTGTATTGGATAAGAATTAGTGCAATTGAGGCACATTTTATCATAAACCAAAAGGTTACTGATCCCAATACTTTTGTACTTTGACATGATCGATTGGGACATCCTGGATCAATTATGATGAGACGAATTATAGAAAACTCAAAATGGGCATCCATTAAAGAAATAATTTAAAGATTTTTTTAAATAATGAATTGTCTTGCACTTCTTGTTATCAAGGCAAATTAATTATTAGACCATCACCAACAAATATTGGGATTGAGTCCCTTGTGTTTTTGGAACGTATACACGGGGATATATGTGGACCTATTCACCCACCTAGTGGGTCGTTTAGATATTTTATGGTCTTAATAGATGCATCTTCTAGATGGTCTCATGTGTGCCTATTATCATCTCGCAACCTCGCGTTTGCAAAGTTAATGGTACAAATAATCCGATTATGGGCACAATTTCCCGATAATCCAATTAAGTCTATTCGACTTGATAATGATGCTGAGTTTTCATCCCAAGCATTTAATGATTATTGCTTATCAATTTAGATAAAAATGAAACATCATGTAGCTCATGTTCACACTCAAAATGGCCTTGCATAGTCTTTAATTAAACGTCTGAAATTGATAGCAAGACCGTTACTCATGAAAATGAGGTTTTCCACTTCTGTTTGGGGTCATGCCATTTTGCATGCAGCAATGCTAGTTCGTCTCAGAACGACAACAATAACAACAACAAGAACCCAGTAAAATCCCATTAATGGGTCTGGGGAGGGTAGTGTGTACGCATGCCTTAACCCTACCCCGAAGGAGTAGAGAGGCTATTTGTGAATGACCCCCGGCTCAAAAAAATAAAAAGACAAAAGGACAAAAGGAGACAATATTAGTATCACTACAACAATCATAGAAAAATTAAGAACACCATGAAACAACCAGTATAAATTAATTTGATCAATTCAAAGATTAACGTCATTACACTAAGAATTGGGGTGGATGAATAATATATTTTTATTCTTAACCAGATTTTGTGGTGCGAGCCTTAAGAATAATATACGCAATTTTCAATTTATTATGTTAGTAGGACCTTAGGTGTGGCCGAAACTAGGTACCCTGACCTAGAAAATTTGGTGCTCGCTCTGCTAAGCGCCTCTAGGAAGCTAAAACCATACTTCCAGTGTCACCCCATATGTGTCGTGACTACTTACCCGTTAAGGAACGTTATGCATAATCCCGACCTCTCGGGTCGATTGGCCAAATGGGCCGTGAAAGTAAGCTGTTACGATATTGAGTACCGACTTCGGACAACCATTAAGTCACAAATTTTGACAGACTTTGTGGCCGATTTTATGCCGGCCCTAATACCCGAGATCGAAAGAGAGTTATTGATTAACTCGGGGACTTCCTCGAAAATCTGGACCCTCTTTACAGACGGAGCCTCGAACACAAAAGGGTCCAGACTTGGCATCGTACTAAAGCCACCAACAGGTAATATAATCAGGTAATCTATTAAGACTGTGAAATTGACTAACAACGAGGCCGAATATGAGGCCATGATCGCAAGCCTTGAATTAGCCAAAAGCTTGGAGGCAGAGGTGATCGAAGCCAAGTGCGACTCATTCCTTGTGATAAACCAAGTTAATGGGACATTCGAGGTCAGGGAAGAACGAATGCAGAGATACTTGGACAAGTTACATGTGACATTACATCGGTTCAAAGAATAGACTTTGCAACATGTACCTCGAGATCAAAACAGAGAGGCCGATACCCTCGCTAACTTGGGATCGTCGATCGAAGACAACGAGATTAACTCGAGAGAAGTTGTACGGCTTATGAGATCGGTGGTGGAAGAAGGCCACGCCGAGATCAACTCAACGAGCCTAACTTGGGACTGGAGGAATAAGTACGTGGAATATCTCAGGACCGGAAAACTGCCATCGGACCCAAAAGAATCGAGAGCCTTACGTATGAAGGCAACCTAATTTAATTTGTCAGAGGATGGAACCTTAGTCAGAAGAACGCTCGATGGCTTGATCGCGATATGTTTGGAACCAGGGAATACCGGATACATTTTGAGGGAAATCCACGAAGGTACCTGTGGGAA